GGGCCATAGAAGCCATTGAAAACTTGGTTGAAGTTCTATAATATTTCCCCTAAACACTGTATCATGAATACCATGTATGTATATTGCTTTTCTGGAAAGCCTAAAATGTACCAAAAGTTACTAATAATGATTCATTAATTTTTAGTGTACATTTTTCTAGAGATTTAAATTTCTTAATATTCTTACTGTAAAATTATATGTTGACATGTTCAGAGGTTGACTCTGACATTAATAAGATGCTCCCTAGAGTGCTTGGCATATCATCCTCTACAACGGACCCAAACAAAGGGAAAAATAGCTACTGCACTACAGCATGTGAAGGAGTGCATCAGAATGTAATGGGGATGTGGCAGAGAAACTGCAGAACCTGGATGTACATAAAGCCATCCAAAGAAGAGAATGCAGTCTACAAGACTATCATTCCACCTTTGAAGATCATCCTTGAACCAAGAGGGGCACCCATAATGGGGAAAAGATAAGAGGCTCTGCTTAGTCCCTACTCATGCAAAAGATAACTAAGGCATTTACTGTTAAAGAATTCTGTGCCCTGCTGCCACTGAGCTCAGTTTGGAGAGCTGGTAAGTTACCACCCCTTTATATTGCCTGGAGAAAGAATCCAGTCCACTTTGTGCATTCGCCACCCAAGATCTTGCTATACAGAGCCACCTTAAGAGCTTTTCCACCCAGAATCTTATGAGGGCTGAGCTATCCTTAGTTTACAAACACATATGAACCAGCCAGAGGCCCTGATCACCCTTGCAACTAAACCAGAGACACCTAGGGTACCATACCTACACACTCCCTTTTGGCCAAATGAAGTGGCCAGGTGTCTCTGCTCATGTTCTCTCAGTCCATAGAGACTCCAGGAGTGACAAAAGTGGTCATCTCACACACCATGACTCTCAGAAGTAGCCAGGTAGCTTAATCATTCTCCCATGGCTTCAAGAAATAGTTGCACAGTCCCAACTTTGAAGTTGAGCCCACTGAGACAATGAGGAATAGATACTTAGATATTCCCACCCAACAAGGAAGCACCCTAGGCATACCTCTCTGAGATGCTCAAACCCTGGAGGCCCCTCAAGCCCCCTTAATGTCACCCAGGTGGGTCTCAGACACTGACAGCCACCTCATGCTGCTACCAAACACACATGACTGTACATGCTTGGGTCAACTGCTGTGCTTCCACATTCACATGACCCACAGAAGCTAAAGAACTTTCCATACCTGCAGCCAGGCACACCATTAACAATATATTCCAAATAGTACCAACAATAGGGCCACTATAATCGTCTGGGAGTCTCTGACAGGAAGACTACAAGTTTGAGTCCAGCCTGGGCCACTTAGCAACTTAGTGAGATTCTGCCTCAAAGTAAAATATAATTTAAAAAGGAGGCTGGAAACTGTTGCTTAGTGTGAAGGTACTGAGTTCAACTCCTAGTACCAAAACAACAACAACAACAAAAGATTTCAAATAAACAATCAAATGAACTGAAGAAACTAAAGCGAGAACAAACTCATCCAAAACTAGTATGATGAAAGAAATAGCAAACAACAGAACAGAAATAAACAATAAAAAATTTACAAGTATCAAGAAAGGTTTTTTTTAAAAGATAAAATTGGCAAACCTATAGCTAACCTAACAAAAGAAAAAAAGAAGACCCAAATAAAATCAGAGATGAAAAGGGAGACCTTACAATTGGCCTCACAGATATAAACAGGTTCATAAGGACCTTTTATGATCAAATATATGCCAACAAATTGGAAAACTAAAAAGAAATGGACACATTTGTGGACACACATAACCTATCAAAATTGAAGCATGAGGACATATAAAACCTGAACTGACCAATAACAAGTAACTACATTGAATCAGTACTATAGTCTCCCACTAAAGAAAAGTCTCGTGCTAGATGGCTTCACTACTGAGTGCTGTCTGTCAGAAAGTAATGCAAATTCTTCCCAAACTATACCAAAGTATTGAAAAGGAGGGAACCTTTGCAAACTCATTCCACAAGGTCAACATTACCCTGATGCCGGGACTAGATAAAGATATAACCAACCCCCCCAAAAAAACCAGAAATTGCAGACTGATATGAGAATAGACTGAAAAATTCTCAGCAGAATGCTACAAATTGAACCCAACATCACATGAAAAAATTGTACACTACACTCAAGCGGGATTTATCCCTTCCATCATAATGTTTCTGCCTTGGAAGGAGCCACCCATGGATGTTAGGAATCCTGTGAAACTGTGAAGAAAATTAAACTTCTCCTCCTTCAAGCTCTGGGTGTTGGAGCACTGTGTCCCAGAATGGGAGAGCTAATTAACACACAAATATTCACGTGACAAAGGATTAATTACCAATATACATAAAGAATTCAAATAACCACAAAACACCAAGTAATCTAACTTGAGCTGAGTAGACATTTCTCAAAGAGGATATAGAAACAGCCAGCAAGAACAAATGCTCAGCGTCATTAATCATCCCGGAAATGCATCAAAACCACAACGAGGTATAAACAAGAACAAAGAAAGAGAGATGTTGGCAAGGAGGTAGAGAAAGGGGAACTCTCAAACACTGTTAATGGGAACATAAATTAGTGTAGTCTATAGAAAATAGAATGAAGATTCTCTAGAAAAATGTAAGAAATAGTAACATTCTATGATCGAGTGATTGTGCTACTGGGTATGTATCAAAGGAATTAAATTAGACTGTCAAGGAGTGATCTGCATTCCCTTGATCACTACAGCATTACTAACAACAGCCAAGATATGGAACCACGCAGGCGTCCACTGCGGGACGAAAAAATAAAACGTTCCACACACAGAGTGGAATGTTCTTCAGCTATAAGAAACGATGAAATTTGTGATTTTCAGAAACATGGATGTAACTGCAGGATGGGTTTGTTACGTGAGGTAATCCATGCACAGAAAGACAAATATATGTTCTCACATATATCGAAGCCAAGTTAAATGCAGAGAATAAAATAGTGGAAAACAGCCTCGGAAGGGTGTGGGGCATGTAAAGATGCAGAGAAGAGGGTTCGGGGGTGCGGCTGAATAGGATGAATAGCTTCTAATGTTCTATAGCACAGTATGTTAACTATGGCTAACAATAAATTGAATTATTGCAAAATAGCCAATAGAGATTTTGAATCTTCTAAATATGAAGAAATGATATCTGTATATATACTAATTACCCTGATCTGATCATTATACATTGTGTAGATGAACATTTGTACTGTATCCCATAAATGTGTAACTACTGTGCTAAAAATAAAAATGTGTCTACATATGTATTAACATAGCAAGATACTTGAGGACTGAGGACACAGCTCAGCGGTGCAGTGCCTGCCTGGCAAGCGCAAGGTCCCGAGTGTGATTCCTGGTACCCAAAAAACAAAATAAAACAAAAAACATAGCAAGATACAAAAAGAGAAGACAAAAACGTGTTATATTCTTCAATATCTTGCATCCTACCTACTTTACTCCCTTTGCCCAGAGGCCGGACACTTTGAACAACTCATTTCCTAAGGATATTCCAGTACATTTAAAATTGTGAGTGAGATTATTCTGTCATTCTTATTTATAAAATTTACTGTTGCTGACATTTTTCCACATAAAGCATATTGATGTGTTCTTTTTAACAATTGCTGGTATGATGGACCATAAATTTCCCTATCTCAACATGTATTGATATATTCTATAAATATTTATTGAACCTGTACTCTGGCTAAAGCATACTATTTAGAGAAATAGCAATGAATAACACACACGTGGTTCATTCCCTATGGACCTAGCGATCTAATGGGGAGTGGGGTAAGTCAAACGAAGAGAAAAATTAGGTTGTGATCGTAGGTATGTAAAAAAAAATCAATCCTAGGTGAGATAGTGTGTGTGTGTGTGTGTTCAGTTTTGTGCTCATGCTTGATGAGCCACTGCAAGAACTCCAAAAGTAGCATTCGAGGCATTTGCCAACTATTTCAGTATAAGCATTCAATAAATACCCATTGATTGCTTGCTCTTTATAACTGGCAGCTGTGTGACAGTGTGATGATTCAAGAGTAAACTCCCATCCTTGTTCTCTTAGAGCACACATTTTAGGGTAAACAAAAATATAAAAAATGCTCAACAGTGACAGGAACACAATAATTGCTCAATAAATGTATGTTTTTCTTATTTAAAATACTGTTCGCCATCTGGTAAATTATCTCATTCATCTGTAAACCATGTGTATTTGCCATGTGAATATTTTCCAGTTTTTGCATATTTATACTGCATTCTGGGTCATCAGTTTCTTTTACTGATGGATGGATTTGTAGTTCTCTACGTGTTGTAGATAGAGCCACCGATTGCATGTTCCATGTACTAGTCTTTTCCATGTACCCCCAGATAGCCAGTTTCAACGGCATCCTTAAATATAAATTTTGCAAATTAGTACCAGTCCACACTCGTTTAGGTTTGTGGCGTCTTTGGGTCTCTAGTTCTTGCGGAGACTCCATGCACATGTCAACAACAGCAACAACAAAATCAAAATGACCCTTCCATCCGCCCCGCAAAACTGTGTAAGAGGCGAGGTTCTGGATCTTCTATAAGACAGGCCAAGGGGAGGCGGCAGGTGAGGGCGCCTCCGCCTGCTGGAGGAGCCAGCCAGTGCGGGTTCGGCTTGCTGGGCGTGCCAAGGCCGCGAGGGGCAGCGACTCTTCTCGGGAGGCCAGGAGCAGCTCTGCTGCAGTTTGTTCTTGGCAAAGAGCACGTGCTGCGCTTTCCACAAAGGGCAAGAAGTAAGACTTTGAAGAAGGGGCGCGTCAGGAACCACATCCACGGCTAGCGGCAGATCACAGAGAAAGCTGACCCGCTGGGTGGTGCAAAAGTGGGAGTTCGCTCGCCTCGAAATCCCGGAGCCCCGGGAAGCCCTCATCCAAAGCTCCGCAAGGCCAGGCGGAAGTGCGGGAGGCAGCGCGCGCGAGTTCCGGAAGTGGGCGGAGCCTCCGGGGCCCTCGATCCGCGAGCACGGGCCGCGCGCCTAGGGCTTCGCAGCAGAGCGCCGAGCAGTCGATCGCGTCCCTGCGGCAGCCCACGCCGCCGCCGCTCGGGGCTCCATCTTCCTGTGTAAGTGCGGCTGCGGCGCGGGAGGGGCAGCGGCGGGAGCGGGGAGCCGCGGCCGCGCCAGTGCCCGGATGGAGGCTGTTATGGGGGCGCGCGTGGGGGACGCGGGGCTTGGGTGCGAGCGGCGCGGCAGGGGGCGGCTCCGCGAGCGGTGTTCATTGGACCTCAGGGATTCTAACTTGGCGCTGTTTCGTTTTTTTAAGGCGGAGGCCCCTGACCCGCCATGGAGCGTGCGTTCACCCCGCTGGAGCCCCTGCTGCCCGCTGGTACTGTACCCGTCCCCGCGTGCCCGCCCCAGCGCCCGGCGCGCCCGCTGCGCTGCGGCCTGGACCGGCGCGGACCGCCGCCGCCCGGCTTCCGACCTCTGTGCCCCTGGGCGCGCCGCTCAGCGCCTCCCGCCTCAGTTTCCGTATCCGCGCAATGGGCATCAGTAGCAATCAGGCCACACCTGGAGCCAGTAAAGCACGCCCCAATTTTAGCAGGTCGCAGCCTCAACCGCAGTATGAACACATCCCCAGCGGGGCAGGAATTACACCTGAAAGGAAAGTCATTGCACGTGTCCAGGACGCCTTTGTCATCCAGGGGCAGTGCCTCTTTACCCAGTAAAAGATCAGCGAGTGGTTGTAGTCCATCACTTAAGGGTATAACACTCACCGAGGGATTTTTTATGTTTTTTAACTTTACAGTTACTGCATTTCACATGGATGGAGAAAATGGGTTTTACCAGGAGTATTCGTTCTTAGGTGTAGGAACTGATTTCTGGGTGATAATTATGTAAAGTTAGATGTATTTTTTTTTAAAAATTTACCAATTAGTTTTATTGTGTGCCCATGGTTTAGAACTTATAATTCGTCAGTTTCATAGAAAGCATCGTTTTCAGTGTTTAGATTTTTTTTTTCGGTACTGGAAATCGAACTCACGACCTTGTGCTTGCCAGGCAGACGCTGTGCCGCTGAGCTACACCCCCAGCCCCTACATTTGTTTTTTTGTAAACGTGACTTCATGGGGCTCATTTAGGCTACTGAACGTGGTTTGGGCGGGTTGGTGATTTCACATCCTGTAAGCGATGCAGGTGACATAGACTCCCAACTGTAGGTGTTGACTGTGCTGAATTCTTCGTATGTACAGCTGTGCATGTCTTAGGGATGGGAAGCATTGTGACAAACGCGATTAGGTGATTTCCTCCCCGTGCACCCATTACAGGGTGACCTTATGTAAGTTCAGGTAGCTGGAGATCCCTGGGCTGTTTAATCTGCGGGACCACTCCTGTGCATACGGTCTGTTGCTGGGGGAAACGTCATTACATAGCACTTAACTACCTATACGTATTTCACACGAAGGAAAACTGTGACAGAATAAGAATCTGAACACATTATTTTCTTGGCTAGGAGATGAGGTGTTTAATTACTGTTTTAAACAGTGCTAAAAGCTTTATGAAATCTCCACAAGTAACAATTTGTGGGCTAAATCTCGTAGGTGCCAGTTAGCCAATAGTAGCAGAATCAGCAGCCTTTCCAAAGCGAAGCATTTGTTTCAGGTTGATGGGTGACTTGCAGATTTATTACTGACACCTGAGAGCTTCCTTGTCTGACGGTTGCTAATGTTTTCTGGATTAAAAGTATGTCGTAATGATGGTGAGTGCTGCATAATACGGTTTGTACTGAGGAGTTAATCTCTGGATTTAAATCCTAGGTTTGCCCCGTAGTAGTTATTTGACTTTGTGTTTCCGTTTATCTGTAAAATAGAACGTTGTCACGGGGTTACTGTAAGTATAAATGAGTTAGTACACGTAAAGCCCTTTGCTTCAGTAAGCGTGAACTATTCAGCAGTAAGTCGGAAGGGGAAAGCAGAAAGGAAGTTGGATCTCTGGGTCAGTGCTCAGATGAGAAAGGTTTGGAGTAATTTACAAGGAAAAGTAATTACAAGGAAAAGCTCTTCTGCTTTTATCAGAAGCTTCTAGGAAAAGGCCTTGACTCCCTAAGTCACAACATTTCTTTTTTCAAATTTTTATTTTTCTCAGTTCATGTTTGAAGTACGTTAATAATTACGTTCACTGCAGGGAGTTGGTCCTTGTGCACAAAACATCCCAGTTCCTTTTTATGGCCTCTTCCCCTCCCCCCGCCTCTTCCCATCCCCGCCCCCTCCGCCCCAGGGAGCCCTGAGGGAACAGAACTCTTGGGTCTGGTGCAGATCCGCAGACACAGAGTCCAGTGTTCCCAGAGGTCATTGTCTGAGTTTCTTCCTGTTGTCCCTATTGGGGAAACTAGATATCTGTTTGATCTCCAGCTTTGACCATGAAACCAGTGTCCCAGGCGTATTAATATTGACTCTAGATTATGTCTAAGGTGTTTAAAAATGGAACATTTGCTGTGAGGGAGTAATGTGATTCCTGACGCTTTGTAATAATTCAGTAAATATTTGAGGTTAAATTTTTCAGTAGAGAAATTTTCTTCATCGAGCAGACATTTAAAATTTATCTGGAGGAGAAGTATTTATAACGTCTGTGAATGTAATTTGTTGGCGTGATTTATTTCTACTACCTGCTTGGATTTAGTATATCGGGCAATCCAATGATAAAGCTGGTTCTCTGCAGTTTAAGTGGCTAGGAATGTTTTGTGGAACCAAATATGTATTTTATGGGTTGATCACTATCTCGGAAAAAGATGACAAATACTTTCTAAAGCTTCTTTGTTGTTTTTGTGACTAAAGAGTTTACCAGTTTTTAAGCTCTTGTCTAAGCTGGAGTGTGAATATATCCTGTATGCTTCCAGAAAGAATCATTATTACGTATTTCAAGCAACGGGTTTATATTACTGTTTTGTAAATGACCAATTGAAGCAATGTGTTAAAATATGTAAGTATTTTTACTTCAGATGCTCTGTGTGCCTTTTCTCCCCCAAACAAAATAGATGTGTTTCTAAAGTGTAAAAAGCCCATTGTGGTTATTAGAGATTTATCACCCTACAAATTTATGTGATGATTGGGGCTGTACCTCAGTGGTACAGGGTGCATATAGCGTGTGTGAGGGCCCTGGTTTAATTCCTAGCAAAAAAAAAAATCAAAACACGAAACAAAACGACAGTAACAACAGAACAAAACCATCAGCAAAACCAAACAAATAAAAAGCCTCAGTGTTGTTCTAAATCATGTGTATGTATGTATAAATAAATTTAAAAATTAAAAAGATTAATTTGCAACTTTTCTGTACCTTCTTCACTGAGGACTTGTGGACCATAGGCAGAGATACCTCAAGTTTTGTTTTGTTTTAATGGGCAACGTAGACTCTAGTCTTTCTTAATAGGTATTTATTTTCTTTCAAAGTTTTTATTGATGCATTCAACACCACATATGTTTTTATACTTATTCATTTATTTATTTTGTCTTTTTTGAGACAGGGTCTCGCTATGCAGCTCAGGCTGGTCTTGAGCTCACTTTGTAGCCCAGGCTGGCCTCCAACTTGCAACGATCCTCCTGCCTCAGCCTCCGAGCGCTGGGATTACAAGTGTGTGACACCCAGCTAGTACCACATATCTTTGAGCATAGCATTTTGGCATCTTTATGCGAGTATATCGATAGGATAAAGTTCTAAAAATGAAATTGTTGAGTGAAGAGGTGTATGTGGATTTCTAGTATCAAGAGGACTGATCACCTAACTGGTGTATATTCTTGGTCCTGGATGCTACGGGCTGTATAAAAAATGGAATATACAGTCTCTGTCACCCAGGAGCACACGGTCTCATCAGACTGTCAGGAACAAAACAAGGTGGATTCCAGTTAGATGCTGAATTAAATATTGTAGAGCCCACAAAGGAACCGCCATGTTTTGCGGGGAACTAGAGTAGGCTGGAGTTGGCAAAGAAATTGGGTTGAGGAGGTGTCAGCTGGGTCTTCGGAAGAGCACTGGGTTTAATTTGAGAGAGGCACAAGGGAACCGGAAGAGCATTATAGGTGACAGGCCATCTGTGAGAGAGCTCAGAGCTGCCTACGGGCATGCCAGCATTCCCGTGCTGGCAGTGTGTCCAGAGGTCTGATTAGGCTGAAGACTCCTGATGGAGATTTTCTAAGAATGATCGAGCATAGGATAAAATTAGAGTGTGGAAGATAGGGAAATTTATTGCAGGAGAGAAGAGGAAGTTTTTGAAAATGTATTTTCCCTTACCCTTTGGAATAGTCTGTTAAAAAAAAAAAAAACAAAAAAAACCCACAAAAGCCTTTTCTCTACCCTAAAAGTCAGTTAGCCAGGTGTGGTGGCACACCCCTGTAATCCCAGCACTGGGCAGGCTGAGGCAGGAGGATTGCCATGAGTTTGAGGCTAGTTGTATAGTGAGCTCAAGGCCAGCGTGAACCACATAGTGGGACCCTGTCTCAAAAAAAGAAAAAAGTCAAATTGTGTCATCCGTGTCATGGTTCTGCTTTGCCTAACCTAATACCAGTAGTCAATGCTTTAATGACAGACTTCACGTAAGAAGGTTGTCCCATAAGATTTTAAAGGAAATGAGAAGTTCCCATTGCCTAGTGTTTTACAGTATCTTTTCCATGTTTAGATGTGTTTGCACACACAAATGCTTACCACTATGCAGTTGCCTGTAGCAATCCGTGCAGCAACAGGCTGTCCAAGATTGCCACCTAGGCGTAACAGATGGTATTACCTACGTATGTGAGTGTGCCCTGTACTGTCTGCGAAATGATGAAATTGCCTGTGAGGGTGTTTCCAAATTCTAGGTCTTTGTACTGGCCTTGAAGGCTTTCACTATCTGATTACCTCCCCAGACTCACTTTTTTTTTCACTCACCTTTTCGTTGCCAGGCAAAGTGGAACTACCCAGTATTTACTTAGGTGAAAACCTGCCCCAACTTCAGTATTCTTCCCTGAGACCAGGCTACATTTATTACCTGGAATTCTGTGTGCCAATCCTTAATTGTTACTGAATTTTAGTTCTGACAGGCGTGTAGAGGTATCTGTGTGACTTTAATTTGCCTTTCTTTTATGACAAGTTGCGTATCTTTCTGCATATCTTATGAAGTATGTCTTATCCCTTTTTCTATTGGACTTATATTACCACCTTAAAAATAATGCCGGGAGTTCTTTCTATATTTTGGGTACAGTTCTTTAAATCTTGATTTTTTTTCCATCAATAAAACAAGGAGAATGATGAATACTTTCTGAAGAGTTGTGAAGACTAAGGAAAATTTGTGAAGAATTTAACAATGATATACAGTAAGGAGTGAAAACATTTTAGCTGTTTTTCTCATTGCCTTTTAAATTT